AAAGATTCTTGCCCCTTCTTCGCTATCGTCAACATTTGTAGATACATCATGTTGCTGACCCATGATATCCTCCACAATGCAAGACCGCCTGAAATACAATGATAGAACTTTCTATGCAGTTGAAATACAGACAAAGGCTACTATGGAGGTCTGGGGGTGCTAATATACTGATCGTGCAAATGAACGGGAAAGCGAAGGGCTACAAATCATGCTGTTATTTCAGCAAAAATTAAATTCAAGAATCTATCTTACGCTTACACGTGTCATGCTTTCATACAGAAGTCAGGCACCATTAGCTCCAGCAACCAAATAAGAACATTTTTCTTTTCTCTCATTTCTTTGTTAAACTAGAAATTAACTAGGAACACAAGTTTCCAGCTTATCCATATTCTTTAGGCTTTTGGAAGAGCTTTTGGGTGGTCAACTCCATAGAAGTACTGCTTAATATAGCTCCTACTTCAAGTTAAATTAGCCTGGGATATTCAGTCAATGGAAAATAAAAAGCTTCATGGATGCGAATTTTTTGTTAAAAGAAGAAAGCATATTGTTGATTTATTTTATGGTTACTTCACAAGAGCAGTTGAGGCTAGTTGTCAAATGACAATAAATGAGTAGACATTATTTCCAAGGTTTTGGCACATAATCAGAACATAATATGCCCCTCCAAATATTTTATCATGGATAATCTCCACCTGAAGATCACCCCCCAGACACACCCATGAACGTGCATGCATGTGCACACATACTCACCTCACACTTAAGGGCAGTAAATCATGCAAATGGTTCTAATCCAATTGAGCGACCTAAGGGTAGTAGGGCGAAGGCGAAAATATGGTTAATTGGCCCTAATCCAATTGATCGGCTTGAGGGCAGTATGGCGGAGGCGAAAAGTTGGGTTCTCCACATCGAATACAAAAGCAAGATGGATCCATGGCTAAATAAGCTTGGGTCCAAGAATTTCTGTAGGAGTTGCTCCTTTTGTGTCATGGGTTGCAAGCATATTAGCCACTACCAAGTGGATTTGCTAGGGCTAGGAGCCAATATGGAGAGATAAGTTTGACCATAAACTCCAATAAGAATTGTGTGCTCTGAATTCTGATTCATTTAATCTCAAGCTTACTAGCAGCTCCATCCCAATTAATCAGCCCACGGTCATACCACAATCCATTACTGGATAACAAGGAAGCAAAGAAGATGAAGTGGTGAGAGCATCAGGATTTATCCATGATTGCATCTATGCTTACTTACCTTTGGTTATACAGCTGGAGCACTTTGTTCTCCATTCTTTCTGATCTCACAATAGAACCACCATCTGTGAATCTGATATGCATGTTGATTAATTAGTATGATCAGATCAGTATTTTCATTCCTGTAACATAACGAAACAAGAAATTGTTTTGTTCACCTTTCCTTATACAAAACAGGATAAATTCGTGTAATTCCAACCAAAGTCCTGGGAACTTTACCCCCAGCGCCCTTAATGCATCTAAAATCCAGTGGAGCTCCATGATTTTTACCTGGATATATGTAAAGTGAAAACTGAAATAGGCTACAAAAGGATCACAGACACACAATAATCAAATAAATGTTAAATCAAATCCAAATACTAGTATACACAACAGCAAAGTGCGTACAGAATCCCAATTTATCAAACCAGTGTGCTCGATATGTCCCGTTTATATGTATCAGTAAGCTAACTGTTTTAGAGGCCTGATAAGGGGGGAAATGCACATTAAAATATGTGGAAGGTCCAAAACGTAAACTCTGATATTCCAAGAAAAACAGAAGAGAAAGAACCTCAAATGGTGAAATAGGCCCGACCCAACCACACAAACTAGCTCCCCATATCTGCAAAAGGTGTCGGGATATTGGTGGCCAGAAATATAGCAAGAAAGTCAATTGAGTAAAACAGAAATGTATAGTACCCGAAGTTTCTGGCCAATGAACAGCTTTCCAGCAGCTAACTGCTTTGACAACAATACATCTAAAACAGCATCCAGAGAATACCTGCTAACTAGAGAAACCTGTAAATGCCTTACAAGATCAGAATATCAATCACAAAAGATCAGGAAAGAATGTGTACTTACCACCCATCAGTTAGTTCTATTTTCAAAACATGATTTCTTTCAGCTCCATCTACGCGGTAAAGGTTTTTTTCATCTTCAATTGCATTAGTTGTATTGTTCAATTTATTCAGGTCAGGAGAAGGACTTGAATATATAGAGGAAATGCATAGGACCATCATAGAAGCTGGTGATGAATCACCATCCAGAATTCTTTTAATTGCTGACCTATGGCCATAATTAACTTCTCTTTCGTATCTGCATGAAAAAGTATCTTAGGAATTAACTATAACATGTTAGACCCTTGTCGAAAAAGTAGAAAGTGCAAGCAAAATCACCGGTATTTTAATTCCTCAAGCGCATTAGACATTGTTAAAAACTTTCCGCTAGCTTTAGCTGGATAGCATCTTTCCAGGCAAGCAAGTTTCCAAACTATCCACTTGTAGTGATTTGCGACCCATCTACGTAATGTGCACAAGAAACGAATGAATCACAAAGGACAAATAAGCACAAATAGACAGTGGTTAACAAATAAAGATACCACTGGCAGATTTCATGGTTTACTATGCACCACAGTCACCAAGAAATGTTTGGTAAGGGGAAAAGCTGTTGGATTGTGTTTGTGATCACAAAAGCTTGGTATCATTTAGATCATGTATTTAAAGATATCGTTTGCAAGTAAAAAAAGTGCCATAGGCAATAAGGGTGCTTGCTATAGTGGTAAAGATATATCATTGTGTTCTATGAAAGACCTAATATCAGCAGCAGTATCAATTTAAGCCATCATCATCACGGTAATTGTCATCTTCATCTTAAGCATTTTTGCATGAAAAGAGGGTTCAGCTACACAATGAGAGAGTTAACGAAGTTTTTCAGCAGCTGTCAAATGAAGCCCTCCACACTGGTGAATGATCTCTTGATCTGGAAACCATAAATCCCAAGAGGCTTTGACATAAATTCTAGAAAACCAGATTGCAGGTAGGAAAAAAATCTTCCTAGTTTAGTTATGAAGGTTGTCTCCTCCCAGAAACCAATTTGTCCTAGAGTAGAAACAGTCTAGAACGAGAAAAAATTAATTTCAAACCGATCAAAATTTCTCTACAGGAAGCTGAATGCCAACGTTGTGACAGCTACTGAACAAACTAAACAAGTTTTATATACTAAACTACCAACTAAGAGAAGGAATAATTGTTTATGGCTCCTAGAAGAGGAAATATGGAGTTGGGTAATGCATGTTAAGTATATTCGTCATTTGAATGATGGCCCAAGTCGTATCTATACTAGAAGAAAAGTATCTGATAGATACAAGTTACATGCTCCTTTTGACGTAGCCCAAGAGTTATAACTTATAAGCTTATAACGGATCATGTAAGTTATGAAGACAACACAGATGTTTCTAGCACTCAGTTCAAAACCTATGCATGAATCCATAGGCACGTTTCTATAATGTTTCTTTCACTTTGTCAATAAAAAAAGATTTTAATTATTTGGATAAGTGTCAACAGTGGCTTGAAGGTTTGATACTATCAGAAATTTTTTTTTCTAATAGACTTAAGAGATAGTGTTAGAGATGAATAATATTACACACACATATTTCATTTGATTACTGCTGTATACATGGCTTATTTGTGTCCAGTATTTCTTTGGATTTTGCTTATCACTATGTTGTATGCATATCAATGTGTTATATTTGGTTATACAAAATGTACAGGAAATAGTGGAAAAACACTTTGTGCCGAAAATAAAAATATGTAGCAAGTAGCAAGAAGCTTCCACTATAATGGCAAGAGAAAAATGTGAAGAAATTTCTAATAATACACATATATGCTGTGGACAGGAAGATGTAGTTATACAGCTGTAAAGGAAATGCCAACTAAGCAGGTAAAATTTTTGTTAATTGACAGAACGGCGTGCAGTAAGATTGCTGATCTTTTAAATGCTCTCATATTCAAATGAGAACTGACAGCTAAAACCATATGGAAGCAGCTGTAATGATGATAATGATGTCTATTTTCAGCAGTCAAATTAACCAAGTATGCACCCATTGTCTTTTCAAAATGGAATTGCAATACTCAAGTAAGAAAGCATGTATAAAAACTTCAGCTTCAATAAACAAAGAACATAGAATATTAAAAATGATTGAGACTTACTCTTTAGTTGCAGTTGATGGTGAGGCACCAGAGTGAAGTAACATATTTCTAAAATTCTCTGATCCAATACTATCAGAACCTGCAGGATCAGAAAACATATACATATCTGCATTGACGGGATTCATTTGTTGTACTTGATCTGGCAGTTGTCTGACCTGAATTACAGTAAGTCCCAAAAAAAAGAGTGAAGCTCTTTTGAATAAACAAAGAATTTGGATAAATAAATCCAATTAAGAGATAATGAATTACCTGGTTATGCTTGGTTGGAGGACCACCAAAAAATTCTTGAAGAGTCTTTCTTTGAACTTTAAATGGATAATGTGCGGACATGCTAGTTCTAGGACAACACTTTTCTGAAGTAGATGGCTTGTTTGAATCTACAAAAAATATGTTAGTTAATAGATTGTAAGACTGTCATTTGATGACAAAAGGAATGGATTGTGATGATATTGATGAAATCTATCTCCAGTTATTACCAGCAGCTAAGAAAGAGATAGTGATGTTTACAGGAGCGCTGAACCTGGACTAGAGCAATAAAGCACATATCAGCTGTATGAAATGAAGGTGCACTTGCAAATCAAAAAGGAATTTGATCAAACCGTGAAATGCGTGGCCTTTTAAATGGAGAGATGGAGTTTCTCCTCTGAGGTCTTTTCTTTTCACTTCCAAAACCATTCATATTTGAATAATCTGTACGGATGTGGTTCGAGATATCAACTAATGGCCCAAGGCCAAATGAATGGCGACCATCTGGTAACTTTACTGGATTGTCAACTGCAGCATGAGCTACACAGTGAACTCTTTTAGAAGATACTTGCAAATGAGAAATTTTCTTGTTGTCATGATTTCGTCCTGACAGAAAACCATTCAGCTTCAGTTGATCTTGGACACCCGTGGCGATAGAAGAAAATGACTTCATTTGATTGGTAACTTTTGGAAGAGGAGATGGAAGCTTTGCTGAATGATTTCTAGTAGTAGAGTTCCGATGCAGACAAGCAATGGGAATATTCTCTTTATTCCAGGAAGTTTCATCAAATACTTTGTCATCTTTTACTAAAAGGGTTGATTGATCTTTTAAAATACTCTGTAAACTCCCACCGTCTGAGTCACCAAGAAGATTTCTTGCACGCTTTAGTGCATCCCTAGAAATTGATAAAGACTTGCCACCAGCAGTATGGAACTTGAGCGGAGGTTGGCCAACATCAGGCGCACACACTTCTGATCCCATAAGATTTTGAACTGCATCTTTATATGGCTGGCTTCCTGATGAGTAGAAATCTGATGAAATCGGGAGTGAATTTCTTTTATCTGATAGGGCACCCTCAGCGTCATTATTGTATTTGGTAATACTAGAAGAACTCGTATTCCAACAAGCCGTGGCGCCATCAGTGGCAATGTTCGAGTCAGACTGATTAACTGGATGCTCGAAATATCCCGAAGTGTAGAGGTTGTCCTTGCTCTCCAAACCCAATAAAGTGTTAGCTCTATAAAAACCAGCAGAAGATATATTTACGGCTTTCCCAGAGCCAGTCTGGAAGAGCGAGTTAGAGAAAGTGTGATGCCGATCACCTATTAACTTACATGTCTTATCTGCAAAATTTCCAGATGAAAATGAACCTGTTCGCAATTATACAATAATAAAGTTATTACACATCTGAGACAGGAATAAGGTAAATATTTCTACTCAGTATAAAGTCACCGAGATGATTCTCAGTGACAAATTTAGCTTCTGGAGATGATCTTTAAAATTCCACAAATAAACAACAATAACATACAATGTCAAAAGACAATTCACAACAAAGCTTCTAAAACTGCAGCACTAGAGCAATAGGATTGTCATTTATAACCTGGATTGCTTTGATATCGCAAACACATTTAGTTTACCCGACACTTATGAGTTATGACTTATTCAAAAGATCATAAACATCATCTCCAGTGACATTAAAATTTGTTTATGTCCCTAAAATCGGATGCATTTAGACACGAAACATTGGTGCACATAGTGCATGACTCTCGCATTAATAATTTACAATTCAGAACTCTGTGTCAGAGATTCATATCACATTAGGTTACTGATCTCCTCGTTGACATGATCAATCAGAAAAATGCCAGGAAACTTAAGAATGGACGAAAAACTTGTCTAAAACCAATACAAACACCTATTGTCATTTGTCATAAGACATGATAGGAAACATGCAATATTTGGCTTTATGCACCATGAAGGCGGTATGTTGATTATGGCATTCCAAGTGCCCTATCAGTGAAGCCTATTGTTCTGTACCGGAATCTTGTAATTTTGAAATTCTACCAACTAGATTTACTGACAATCTTTTGCATTAAGATCTACAGTAGAATCAGTTCATGACATAGCACTGCAAGCTAACAATTTCATGTGCTTTCCAGAATTTTCTCATCCAAAATAGTACCATGAAATCTGTTCCATAGCCACTACAACACATGTTTCCAATTTTCTAGGGCGAAAAATTGTTCCTGCTGCTCTTACATTTCCCTTTATTTGATCTATAACATTTGTAAAAGCTATTTTTACACGACATATGTCATCTAGACAACTTCCCTTTGTTACACATAGAACAATGACCAAAAGGCAATCAAACATAAAAAAATTAATGGTAATACATAAGATACTAATATTTTATGCATTGCCAGCTATGTTGCATGGGTACGGGTACGGGACGCGGCAAATTTGCAAAAGGTAGGGTACGGGGACACGGCTATATAAAAACTTATATACATATATTACATATTGAAATTTCTAGTTTACATGAGATCAATAAATTTTATTCACATGTTATGAGAATTTATAATTCCTATAAAATTTTAAAATTGTTATATTTCTATTATTATGTGGATTATAAATTGTAAAAACACTCATATTTTCTAGACACCCAAATGACCATTAAAATCGTAGTTTGGAGCTCAACGAATTTCAAGAAGTGGATGTGAAGTTTATGATTTTACGTCCAGGAAATTTTGACAAATGTTCTAAATAAAAATAGGTATTGTTTAATTGAGTACATGCCCAAATAAATGTATGCATATATGTAAGAAGTATCCAAGGAGTTTGGGTACGGGTATAGGTACGTATCGGGTATGGCTTCAAGATAGAAGTACCCAAGTAACATAGATTGCCAGTAAGTCCCAGCAATCTTAGATTATGCATGTGCCTACACTATGCATATTCTTAGAACCCCTACATCTACACATGGAAAGTGAACGTTATGGAGAGCATCAGGGTGAAACATAGACACAAATAATACAACATTTTAGTTATTTACCCGTTTCAAGATCATCCCCAGCTTGAAGAACAGATAATGCCCTACTAATAGATGATTGCTTCACCAAAACTGATTTCCCAGAACCAGTCTGGAACATAGGAACATCATAATTGCTGCTGTTGGAACATGGAGGCTTCAAAACCTCTGCAAGAGAAAAAGAAAAAAGAGAACTAGTGAGTGATCTTGTTGTTAGAGAAAGTAATATAAACGAAGTTGATCTCCAGTCATCATGTAGGTCATGCACAGATGTCTTTCCCAGGCAAAGAACCCATACCCTATATTCTTTTATCTCTTACGAAGCAGTAGTATGATGGGTCATTCCTACAAATATCTGTGTAGATGTAATACCCCAACCCTTGAGAGGGTGATGTGATTAGTATTGATAGATTTGATTGGAATACTCATACCACCAAGATGCATCTTCTTTTCGGGAACTCAACTCTTAGAAACTTCAAAGTTAAGCGTGCTTGGCCTGGAAAAATTCTAGGATGGGTGACCCCCTGGGAAGTTTTCCAGGGAGCACGTGAGTGAGGACAAAACATGCTGAAAAGACATGTGATGGTTTGTGAGGCCAGTCCATCAGATCTAATAGCATACCGACTCCGGGAATCCGGGGCGGGGTGTTACAAATGGTATCAGAGCTCTAGTTCCAGTATCCTTAGGATCATCATGTGTCGAGTCGTGAAGGTGGAATAGAGTTTCCTAGGATTCATGTATAGAGTCCGATAAGAATTTCTTAGAATGAGTGAGGACGATATATGCGTATATCTCAAAATTTTGAATTTTTTTTTTACTACCTTACTTTGATTTAAAAGTATTTTCATGAATAATTTATTATTAAATATGTTTTCGCCTGAGGTCTCAATACTGTGTCTTATAAACCATCTTCCTGAACTTTAGATGGCGGGACAAGGACGCGGACGTGGTAGGCCTCGTACAAGGAGAGATGAGCAAGAGGAGCCAGAGCCGCAGCAAGCTCCAACCGCGCAGCAGCAGGCCCCGCCAGAGCCGCACAGCACTCAAGGAGCAGATGACGAATCATGTTCAGCCAGTTACACCACCACCGGTGATTCCAGTCATTCCTATCTCGGAGGAGACCCTAGAGATCACACCAGGGATTACACCACCACCAGCTGTAGGGCAAGCAGCAGAGCAGGAGGCTTGGCTCCGTTTAGTAGAGCGGTATCAGAAGATGAGGGCACCGGAGTTTCAGGGGTCATCAGATTCATTTGCAGTTCATAAATGGAAGGAGGATGTGAGTAACATACTAGACTTACTTGGTGTAAATTCAGTGCAAAAGCAGAGGCTAGCAGCTTACAGCCTTAAGGGTGATTTCGGAGGATGGTATCGACTTCAGTTTACCCCAGAGCACCGGATGACTCTCACTTGGGAGGATTTTGTATACTTTTTTGATGAGCAATACATCTCTTCCGCGGCACGGGCCGGGAAGGAACTTGAGCTGTCCAGATTAACGCAGGGAGACATGACCGTAGCTGATTACGAAAGCAAGTTTATGAGTCTGCTTCACTTTATGGGCATGTGGCAGACCGGAGAATGTCAAGCACAGATGTTTCTAGCGGGGCTACGTCCTAGCCTTCGTCGCTACCTCGTTTTCAGGAGGTTTCACTCAGTTCGAGAGGTAGCTAATGTCGCCATTTCTCAGGAGACCGAGACGACTATGTTCCAGAAAGACAAGGAAGGAAATGCTAAAGCAGGACAGACCAGGGATAAGGACAAGGGTAAGAGACCTTTTACCGGACCTGGAGGACCCCAGCAACAGGGTAAGGATTTTCAGCAACAGCAGCAAGGTCGAGGACACGGTCAGCAGCAGAATCATGGTCAGAGCCAAGCCAACCGGAATTGTGAGAGCTAAGTGTTATGCGGCGCAAAGTGCTACGTCGAGAGGGCGAGAGCCACCTCTTGAGGCCGTAGGAGCCACCTCTAGAATCTCACACGGATGGAACGGTCTTGGATGCTATGATTTGGCGCAACGAGGACGTTGCGAGTTTAAGTGGAGGAGTTTGTAATACCCCAACCCTTGAGAGGGTGATGTGATTAGTATTGATAGATTTGATTGGAATACTCATACCACCAAAATGCATCTTCTTTTTGGGAACCCAACTCTTAGAAACTTCAAAGTTAAGCGTGTTTGGCCTGGAGAAATTCTAGGATGGGTGACCTCCTGGGAAGTTTTCCAGGGAGCGCGTGAGTGAGGACAAAACATGCTGAAAAGACATGTGATGGTTTGTAAGACCAGTCCATCAGATCTAATAGCGTACCGACTCCGGGATTCCGGGGCGGGGCGTTACAGTAGATAACACCTGAACTTTCCTGTGAACATTTTCCTTAAATATGTAACACATCCTTTTGCATTAACATTACTATTAGAGTCAAAACTATTAAAACATGTTTCTTTCTACCTCATAAATCTTTTATTTGAGAGCTTAAAGTAAACAAAATCCCTTGATCTTGTCCAGGCATATGCCCCTTCGGTGAAGATCACATCGTAGGCCAATTTCTCCAACATTAGCAAAAACAAAAACAGAAAAAGAAAATACGTCCACTTCATCTGCAGTGCATGTGTTCCATGTGGATCACAATATGGAAACAAACCTTCAGTGGTATGCAACCAACCATCAAGCTTGAAAGTTGCAAAAGGAAAATTTGATAAATTTTATTTCCACAAAAAGACTTTTGAGGTTTCATAAGTGCCCCAAGACAAAATTGGATTTTGTTTAAGATGTTTCTTCTCATTGCCTAGAAAAGAGAGATATACTAGATTAAAGGCATCAGCCAAAAGGAAAGGAAGCTCACTAGCTATGAATTCTAACCACAACAAAAGAAAAGAACAATTAAGTCTGAGATATCCCCTTCCAGTACAGCCATTGCTTTCCTAACTGAAGACTGGCTCACCATAACAGCTTTTCCTGATCCCGTACACAACATTGGGAAACCATCACTGCTGGCATTTGCTATTAAACGAAGAAAAACTGAAAACTATAGTGGCAGAAAGCTACACAAAAATGTTAAGTGGACGAAAATAGAAACATTACCTTTCTCCACATCTTCACCAAGAACAGCTGCTGCCTTCAAAACTGAAGATTCCCTAACCGTAACAGATTTTCCCAATCCAGTTTGAAACATTGGAACGCCGTTATCATTTCCATTACCACCCTGAACAACTGCAGCAGCTCCTAAAGAAGAAAGAGAAACAAATAAGTTGCATACAAATATCAGATCTTAATGTTTCACCATCAGATCTTGAAATATCTGAAATGTTTCTGCACCTAAATGTTTTTTGATTTGTAGCTACCACAGCTTCTAAATCACTTCACCTCAAAGAATGGGAAAAAATCTCTAAAGCACTTAAGACATTAGCTACTAAAAGGGAACAAACAGAAATGTCCTCTTAAGTGAACAAAAATCCAATATTTACCTTTCTCCATGTCATCTTCACCAAGAACAGCTGCTGCCTTTCTAACTGAAGATTGCCTAACCATAACAGATTTTTCAGATCCAGTTTGGAACATTGGAAAGCCATTATCACTTCCATTATCACCCTCAACAGCTATAGCAGCTCCTAAAGGGGAAAGAGAAACAAACAAGTTGCATCCAAATATCAGCCTTAATGTTTCACATACAGTTCTTGAAATATTTGAAATGATGTCTCCACACCTAAATGTTTTTCAATCTGTAGCCATAGCAGCTCCTAAATCATTCACCTCAAAGAATGGGGGGAAATCTCTAAAGCACTAGAGATTGCAATTAAAAAGGGATTTTTCGTTATTAACCCTTAAATACTTCATATTTTGAGATCAAACCCTGAAATCACAGAAATTGCTAATAGGTCCCTCAAAATTTAAGTTATTATGAAATTAGTCCCTCAAATCCTTGAAGTTGTTTTGAAGTTAGTCCATCCAATTAAGAGGAAAAGTAGGAATCAGAGGGATTAATTTGAAATGCCTTATGAGAACTTGGGAGTCTAATAGCAGTTCAATGATTTTAAGTAACTAATTTGTCTTTGTTTGCTATTTTTACTCTTGGTTTGAGAGACTAAATTCAAAATAAATTAAGATTTTGTGGGACCTAATAGCAGTTTCAATGATTTGAGCGCCTAACTTCAGAATAACTTAAGATTTGAGGGACTTAATAGTAATTTTCATGATTTGAGGGACTAATTTCAAAATATGAAAGATTTACGGGACTAATATCCAAAAACCCTAAAAGGAAAAAATATGAATTTTTCCTCTTAAGTTAACAAAAACCAAAACTTTACCTTTCTCTGTATCTTCACCAAGAACAGCTGCTGCCTTAATGACTGAAGCTTGCCTAACAGCCACAGATTTTCCTGATCCAGTTTGGAACATTGGAAAACCGTTATCATTTCCACTACCTCCCCCAACAGCTAAATCAGCTCCTAAAAGGGGAAAGAGACATAAATAAATTGCATAGAATTTCACCATTAGTTCTTGAAATATTCTAAATGTTACCTCTAAACCTAAATGTTTTTCAATTTTGCAACCACAGCTACTAAATTACCTCAAAGAACACGAACTTTTTCAAAGGCACTAAAGAAATATGCTATTAAAAGGGAGGAAAAGCACTAATTTCCTTTATTAAGCGAACAAAAATAAAAAAAACTTTACCTTCATCCCCATCTTCACCAAGAACCGCTGCTGCCTTCATAACCGAAAATTGCCGAACTATCAAAGATTTCCCCGATCCAGTTTGGAACATTGGAAATCCATTATTGTTAGGAATCTTGACCCCAAAATTAGTTTGTTTTGATGATAACAAATATTATATGTTATTTGTATTATGTGCTAACATTTGTTTTGCAGTATCAGAGCTAAATCAACAATTATATTCAAAGAGATACTCAAGACATAGATGAGTTCAAGGCAAAATGAAGCAAAGAAGAAGATATACTTTATTGTCAAAATATAATTTTTTTTTTTTTTTTCTTTGAAATGTGTACAAGCTGAAGCAAAGAAGAAGATATACTTTATTGTCAAAATATAATTTTTTTTTTTTTTTTGCTTAGAAATGTGTACAAGCCTTGATCACTCACACACATGCACACACATAGTGTTAGAACACACTAACACATGCGTAGTGTGTTGGTTAATAATAAAAATCCTCTATGTTAACCATTAGAATTAATAAATATTGAGTGAGACTTAAAACATATCATATAGCTCATATCTACCATTTAATAGTTGACTAATAGCATGAGTAGTCGACTACAACAGACACAGACAGAATATCAGTTTGTGTCATTACAGACTAGTCAACTACTAGGCATTATAGTCGACTAATAAGAGTTGAATTTGAATTTCAGACTTTCTGTTTTTACAGAGTAGTCGACTAATAGACAAAGTAGTCGACTACTAAGAAAAATACTGACTACACAAAGTTTGTATGAGCTCAGAGTAGTCGACTATTAAGACTTGTAGTCGACTACTAAGACTGTTTTCTGACTGTTACAGGTTTTGAATCTATGACTGTTTATAGTCGTTTTAAGGTGTTATTTGGGTTTAAAAATATGTCTTTTCAGAGGCTATAAATAGGAAAAACGTCAGAAAACAATAAAGAAGTGTTGCACTCAAATGATTAAACATTTTGTGCATTCTAAGTGTTCTAAAATTCAGATTTTGCCTTAGAATATATGTCCTTTGATCATTTCATACAAAGTGTTGTTAGGCAAATTTCAGAGAGAAAAAACCTATAAATACAGTGAGAAACACGTTCACAACACATTCAAGGCTTGTAGGATTGGATTTGTACTTGCTTCAAAGAAAGCTTCTCTCGGTTTGTGAGAGGGATTGATCTCTTGGTCTAGAGGTCGGTTTACAATTGGCATAGTATTGTCAATTGAGTTTGCAATTTGTATGGTCTTTCAAATTGGTCAGGTTTGCTGTTTAATCTTGTAAGGTTTCAAAATCATAGTGGAACTCTCAAGCGGGATTTGCTTGGGGACCGGATGTACACCGGGGAGGTGGAACCAGTATACATGCTTGTGTTTGTGATATTCACTTTCTGAGATTGTCATTCTTTCTTTGCAATTTATAATCTACTTTACAAACTCACCCTCTAGCGTTTAAGTGTAAAACTTCCGCAGATTTTTATAAGAACACACTTTATTCTTAATAGTCACGATCCTACACTTGGTATATATGAGCAAGATGACCCTACAATTATCACTTCCATTACCTCCATCAGCAGCTACTAATAGAGGAAAAAGAAATAAATTACACAAAATATAAAATTTCTAAATATTTCACCATCAGCTCTTGAAGTAATCCAATTGTCATCTCTACACTATATATTTTTCAATAACTAGCTATATCAACTCCTAAATTGCTAAAAAAAACTTCAGGAATTTACAGAAAATAAACAAAAAAAAATATATCCTTTCAGATTCACCTCGATCTACAGCATTGCCTCCTTCAAGAAAAGATTTCGCACTCTGAACCGAAGTCTCTCTCACAGAGACCGATCTGCCAGATCCCGTTCTGAACATCGGTGCTCCACCGGTGCGATCACCGCCGGCGCCAAGTTCTAGAAGCTTCGGAGGAGCTGAGACACTCAAAATGAACATGAGATCTACCAATTAAAAGAAAGTTTCCTTCATTTGATGTAATAAAAAGGAGGTAAGTATACCTTGCCGCACGAGATCGGCCAGCGACGGAAAACGAGAGACTAGGGTTTTCGGAGTCTCCGACGGCGGCGGATCGAGTTCTCCGCCGGCGAGAGACCATCGGAAATGTCCGTCGGCGGTGGGGAATATCTGCCACGTCGGCGGCGGCATTTTCGTTTCTAGGGGTTTTTTTTTTCTATTGTTGTTTTTTGGCTCGAATTTTGAGACGAAATCCTTGAGAAAGGGAATGACGGAGAGAAATAGAAAAGGCGGGAAATGAGATTTTTTTTGTCAAGTTTTTAAAATAGACTCATTTAGAAACATATTTTTTAAAATAATTGTTATTTTCGATCCAGTTTTATCCAGTTGGTTGAAACTGAGCTGAAAATAGTAAAAAAACATTAAAAACTTTACGGAATTTAAAATGTCGTGAAGTTTACCTCATTATTCAGTTGATTAGGGAAGCCAAAGCTGATGGAGCCGACACTTTTCTGCCTCATACACAACCGGATTATCAACATGGATAAAGGGAGCGGAGACGAGGGGGAAGAGTGAGGGGAAGGGGTAAGAGAGGGAGAGAAAGGAGGGAGGACTTTTAGGGTGTATGTGAAATTTACAGTATGATTATGAATTTCAAGAATGTATATGGTTAGATTATTCACATTTGTTACTTTTGTGGATCGATTTTGTTTATATATGTGATTTTCGTGTATATTATATGATTCATGGTTGAATTTTATGAATATTATTGTAATTTAGTATATATGTGATTTTCATGTGTATTGTTTGATTCATTGTGAATGAGGCGGAAATTTCATGTATATTGTTGTGAATGAGACGAAATTTTCATGTATATTGTTGTGAATGCGGCGAAAATATTCATGTATATTGTTGTGAATTTTTTTCCATGTATATAGGAAACATGCACACATTCTGTGCATGTTTGGGGAAACTTACAACTCCATGAGATTTCAAATCCCGTGGAGTTACAAGGCGACTTGTCAGAGAGCGAACGCTATTTGGTGTGTCGACTGAAGCTTCACGGGATTTGAAATCCCCTGAAGTTTAAGTTTTGGCTTCCCTAATCAGCATACTAATGGGGGCTTAAACTTCACGGGGTTTTATATCCCGTGAAGTTTTGATGTTTTTTTTTTCGACCTTGGATGAAACTGGGTCGAAAATAAAAATTATTTTTAAGATAGGTCGTTTTTTAAAAATATGTTTCTAAACGGGTCTATTTTAAAAATTTATCCTATTTTTTAAGTTTTTGCATACAAATCCTAGACTTATCTGTATTTGTGAATTTCCCCCTCAAATCTAGATGTTTGCTAATGTACTCCATAAATCGCCTAAATTGGTTTCTAAATTAAACCCATGTTAATTTGCCGGTGACAAAAAACTACAAGACGGATAATAAAAAAATGTTGATCACCTTTCTGCACAAGTAAAAAGTAACTCCCTCATTTGTGAATAAAATGATAATAATCCTCTTTTTCAAACACCGAAAAAAGGACTTAAAGATTAATATAAGGGGAAATTGTTTCTGGTCCTCAATTTCCTAACAACTATTCTACATTTCTACCCCCTCCCAAAACTTTTTCAACGTTCTCAAAAACCCAAAAAGTAAACTCATTATTCTCTGGCCCCCAAAACACAAAAAACAAGAGTTCAAAATATGTGAAGACCATAGTACACACACTCTCTCTCTCTCTCTCTCTCTCTCTCTCTCTCTCTCTCTCATAAAAATAATCAAGAACTGGAATCCCGTCATCGACACGGTCATAATTTTAATTACGTTTCTTTCCTCTGATAATGCTTCAGCACTCGGATTCTCTGCCTCCAGAGGCTCACCTCTTGAAAATGCCCCACTGATAAGCTAACCGTCCTAACCCTAAGCCCCTGCCAGTGTGCGCGCCGTTGTATCCACCGCCGACGAGTACACCTCAGGCAAAGTCTTTGTCTACGACCTACCCCCATTTTTTAACAATGAGTTGATCGACAACTGCACTGACCTAAACCCCTGGACCTCCCGCTATGACACCCTCTCCAATGACAGCTTCGGCCTAAGCGGCGCCACCAACCTCGCCGGAGTCGTCCCCTCAGACCTCCTCCCATCCTGGTTCTCCACCGACTAGTTTGCCGTTGATATCATCTACCACCGCCGCATGCTCTCCCACCTATGCCTAACCCTAAACCCTAGCGCCACCACCGCCTTCTACATCTCCTTCTACATCGGCCTTTCCGTCGGCAAGCACCTCTGGTCCTCAACCTCCACCTCCGGCGAGCGTGACCGAGCGTGCCAGGAGCTTCTGGTATTTGTGAAGGTTATGGGTCTGTTGTGGAGGTTACGCGTTGGTTGTAGAGGATACGCATTGGTTGTGAAAGTTACAGGTTGGTTGTGAAGGATACGCGTTGGTTGCAAATGTTACCGATTAGTCGTTAAGGTTACGGGTTTGTTGTTAAGAATAATCGTGGGGTGTGAAGGTTTCTATTTAGTGGTAGTCTTTTGATGATTCCCAATTAAAATTATGATTTCCTTTTATCAAGAATAGATTTTTCTTTTGTTGGGTTTTATGTCTAGATGGCAATGCTATTATTTCGGTATATCTACTTGTTGTGATTATACATAACTTGAAGTTTGTATTAATTTTTTTCTTAATTAAATTGTCCCTCTGCATTAGTCTCTCTCTCTCTTACAAAAAATATATATAACCTCCCCCCAACCCCCAACCCCTCTCTCTCTCTCTCTCTCTCTCTCTCTCTCTCTCTCTCTCTCTTTCTCTGTGTGTGTGGATCCAAAAAATATAAACATGAACCCCTAATTGCATTTGCATGCATTGCAACCAGTGATTATTATAACGAACTTGGTTCTTTCTGCAGAGAGCAAGTTTACGCGGAGGAGGTAACTTCTTCATGATATTAATGGTGAATTTTTTTTATTTTTTGTAATTTTTCTTTCTTTTTGATGATTCATTAAGGTTACGGTTGATTGTTAAGCTTACGTGTTGGTTGTGAAGGTTACGCGTTGGTTGTTAATGTTACATGTTGCTTGTTAAGGTTACACGTTGATTGTTAAGGTTACGCGTCAACTGTTAAGGTTACGGGTTCGTTGTTAAGTTTATGGGTTGATTGTGAAGGATACATGTTGGTTGTGAAGGTTACGGGTTAGTTGTGAATGTTACAGGTTGGTTGTTAAAGATAAGCATTGGTTGTGAAGGATACAGGTTGGTTGTGAAGAATACAAGTTGGTTGTTGTTATGGTTACAGGTTGATTGTTAAGGATAATCGTTAGTTGTGAAGGTTACGCGTCGGTTGTGAAGTTAACCTTCACAATCAACTCCTTACTGAAGTTGGTTGTGAAGGTTTTACGGGTTAGTTGTGAAGGTTATGGGTAACTTGTTAATGTTACGCATTGGTTATGAAGGTTATAGATTGGTTGTGAAGGTTACAGGTTGCTTGTTAAGGCTACGGGTTAGTTGTGAAGATTACGAGTTATTTGTCAAGATTACGCGTTGATTGTTAATGTTACAGGTTGGTTGTTAAGATTATGGGTTGATTGCGAAGGTTAATTCATAACCAACACGTAACCTTCACAACCAACGCGTAACCTTAACAACAAATCCGTAACTTTCACAACCAACAGGTAACCTTAACAAGCAACCTGAAACCTTAACTGTAACGCCCCATCCCGGAATCTCGGAGTCGGTACGCTATTAGATCTGATGGACTGGCCTCACAAACCACCACATGTCTTTTCAGCACGTTTTTTCCTCACTCACACGCTTCCTGAAAAACTTCCCAGGGGGTCACCCATCCTAGAATTTCTCCAGGCCAAACACGCTTAACTTTGGAGTTTCTAAGAATTGGGTTCCCGAAAAGAAGATGCATCTTGGTGGTATGAGTATTCCAATCAAATCAATCAATACTAATCACATCACCCTCTCAAGGATTGGGGTATTACAAACTCCCTCACTTAAACTCACAACGTCCTCGTTGTGCCAAATCATATCATTCAAGACTGTACCATCCGTGTGAGATTCTAGAGGTGGCTCCTACGGCCTCAAGAGGTGGCTCCCGCCCTCTCGACGTAGCACTTTGCGCCGCATAGCACTTAGCTCTCACAATTCCGGTTGGCTTTGCTCTTATACCATTTGTAACGCCCCGCCCCGAAATCCCGGAGTCGGTACGCTACTAGATCTGATAGACTGACCTCACAAACCGCCACATGTCTTTTCAGCACGTTTTTGTCCTTACTCACGCGCTTCCTGAAAAACTTCCCAAGGGGTCACCAATCCTAGAATTTCTCCAGGCCAAGCACGCTTAACTTTGGAGTTTCTAAGAGTTGGGTTCCCCAAAAGAAGATGCATCTTGGTCAGGCCAAGCACGCTTAACTTTGGAGTTTCTAAGAGTTTGGTTCCCGAAAAGAAGATGCATCTTGTTGGTATGAATATTCCAATCAAATCTATCAATACTAATCACATCACCCTCTCAAGGGTTAGGGTATTACATTAACAACCAACGCATAAATCCCTTGGCTTTTGACGTCAAAAGCTTCTCTTTTCTCAATAACATCTCATTTCTCAGAGAGAAGAATGTTGTTCAAATCCCGAAACATCCTTCATTAATCCCACTACAATCTCTATCTCCACTATAAAAAACGCCCAAATTCGCACCCAAATGGGTTGCAATGAGCTGCATAAAGAGGCCGCCGTGGCACTGCCAGGGCGAATCCCCGCCGCCGGTAGCTCCCGAAGCGCGATCAATGCCGGTCGCCGCTAGGCGCTCCTCGAAAAAAAAAAAAAAAAAAAAAAAAAAAAAAAACAAGGTCGTCGACAACAACCGCCATGTCCGGCCCTCACCTCCACCACCGGCCTAGGGTCCCCCGCCTGCGACTCCGCCGGGACGCGCACAACCTTCCTCTCCTCCGCGTCCGCGACGCGAAGATGAGCCCGCATCAAAAACTGGTCGGCGATTCATCGAGACCGCGAGATCCGGCCCAAAAACCTCACTAGCCCGAAACAATCAACACGCATGGGCTCATTGAAAGGCCTCGAAAAGGCCGAGTCCAATTTAGCCCGGCCGATTTAGGCAGCGCCATCGAAAGATAGCCTTGTCTTCTTACAATGCAGCATGCCATCGCCCCAAAACCCGCAGTGGCCTTGAAATCAACCCGCGAGCGAGCCAATCGTCTCCGATTTCGACCCCGAAATCCTCTTAAATTTCAGAAAAACCCTCAGCGAGCTCTCTCCTCAGCATCAAACCCTGCTCAAATCCCCCGAACCCACAAAGCAACCATCTTCCATCGTCAAAGAAAGAATCATAGAGTTCCAGCAGAGAATCGATGCTAAAAAGGGCAGAAAACCTCGAACTCCTCGCCGTTGGAGCTCTGGAGGACGATCGTCTTCTTCAAATCGTTGGCGGCCGCTATCGGAGAAAGGGACGGAGGAAACCCTTTCAAATCATCACAGATAAAAAAGAGAGAGAAAGAGTATTATTTTTTTCACATGTTTAAAACTCTTGTTTTTTGTGTTTTGGTGACTCAGGGAATAACGGGTTTACTTTCGGGGGTTTTGGGAACGTTGAAAAAGTCTAGGGAGGGGGTGGAATAGTTGTTAGGAAATTAGGGGCTAGAAGCAATTTTTCCTTAATATAAATTCAACCCAACAAGGTAATCAATTTAAGCTTTCTTTATTCAAAATGGTTTTCTAGTTTTATTCTTCTACTTATTCCTCTCTTTATTCTACCGATGAGATTATATATTTTGACAAACTAACAGTTACGTCCCTCCTAGTTATTTGATAAGTAGTCGGACTAGAATTTTTTGCTAAATTTTCTTTGCATTAGCGAATTCTATTTTTTGTTTACGAAGAACACGAGTTAGAAAAAAAGTGATGTAAAATATTGTTCAGCTCAGTAAATTTCAGCGTCAGAAATACTCTCTACAAGATCACTTTTTTTTGCTGGAAAAAACATAAGGAATAATAAACAAATTTTATACGGACCTTCAAGCACAATAATTATGATGAGAAAAAAAGAGTACAAGAAGCGTTCAAATCCCGTAAATCTTTTCCAAACCTCAACTTTCTATCAAAACAAAAAGCAGATTCCCAACAAAGTCAGAAGGTTCTAAATCATAAAACTTACCAATTTCCTTCAAAACAAAACACAAACAGGAACTCAAACAAATTAGGATAAATTCCGAGAATTCAAATTGTAAAAGATCGCAGCCCAATGAGCCAAACATTCCCATATGTGCATGTAAACTCGGAGAAGTTTAAATCATAAAACTTACTTGCCTGGACAACAGGGATTTATTGAAGTTAGCAGCCATTTACCTCATTATATCATCAACAGGATCATATCTGTTTCCATTTCTGACATTTTCTGCTCCTAAATTAGCATTAGAAGACTAGCAGGCCAAACTCACAAAACAAGTTAAAAGGCAATTTACAGTTATATTCTGCATACATACATACACACATGCACGGGCACATGCGCAACAACAAAACCATTCGAAATGTCAATCTTGCTTCATCATCGTCCGTATTGTTCCTCCCTCATCCTCCTCCGCCAGCTCCTTCAACAGCTCATCATCCTCTGGCACCTTCAATGGCTTTGAACATGTAAAATTTATATACTCCCCCAAAAATATCATCTTTGATAGCCAAGCTTTCCACTCGTTAGAATTATACTTATCCTCCTCCCAAGTATCCAATGCCAAAAGCCTATACACATACACAACTTTCTTTTGTCCTGGCCTAAAAGCTCGAGCAATGGCTTGCCTAGTCTTTGCATGATTCCACTCTGAATCCAGCAAAACCACACGAGATGCAGCGGTCAAACTAATTCCCTCTGCACAAGCCAAAGTTGAAGCAAGCAAAACTTTGCATTTATTTTTAGTTTCTGAGTTAAATTTATTCATAATCCTCCCACGCTCAAAGAGTTCTTGATCACCTTGAAGAGATAAAACTTCTTTTCCCTTTTCCCATCCAAAGATATCTTCAAACAACTGAGTCAGAAATTTTATCGGAGGAATATTGTGACAGAAGATCAGAACTCTCTCCTCTCGAATAGAGGACTTGTGAACTAGGTCGACGAGAAATTTCACCTTCGACCCACTGGTAAAGTTATTCTTGTACTTTTCAATATTGACCAACTCATCGCTGTTGAAGTAATCATTAACGCTCGCTACTGTTGTTATCAACCACGGGTGGATTGAGCCAACTGTTATTAGAAGCTCCAAGTCAAGAGGGCATCTTTTTTGCGTTATTTGATTCTGCAGCTTTATTAGAACTTCTCTTTGTACATCTGTTGATGATAGCATAAGAGTGTAGATTTGTAACCCCGGAAGTGAATGATTTGCGTCTCCATCGTGACTGTCGATAAACCCATTTGTGGTTTTACTCAACAGCTTGAAACCTTGCCTTCTGTCTTCTTCATTCACCGACTCAATTCTCTGTCCAATTTGTTCTACAAAAAGTTTTCTAGCCAACCTCTCTTTTCTACTTGTTTTCCTTCCTCCTTGCTTTCTACCATTTAGAACCTTGATCATCCTCAGATCCAATTCCCTTATAACATCATCGACAAACCTTGGTCTTGCCAAGGAAAGCGTGTTGAAGTATTCCTCAAAGTTGTTTTGAAATAGAGTTCCAGAAAGAAGAATCCTGAACTCAGTATTTACTCTCATCAGTAGTTTTCTCAACTTTGAAATATTGCTTCTTGGATTGTGACCTTCATCAAGAACTAGAAGCCCCGGGTCGTTCAACAATACATCTGCCATGAACTTCTTATATTCAAATTTTGACTCTTTAAATGTGAAGGCAAAGAAAGCTGGATAACTCATGAGAAGAACACCCGGTTTCTCACGCCATTGCTTTAGTTTGGTTAGGCAATCAATGATGTGCATCATTTTCACATTTGGCCTTCTGTTAAGTGATGAAGATAATTTAACTTTGGGATCCCAAACTTCCTTCTTGTAGCTTTCAAATGGATGAATAAGGTGCACGGGTGTTGAAGCTGAAACCCCCCACTTATCAAATTCCTTCCACCAAATATAAACCGCAGTTTTTGGAGCAATTATTAGAGGACGACTTGCTGGATATAATCTCAAGTAACTCACAAGAAAGGAGATAACTGACAAAGTTTTTCCTGAGCCTGGAGAATGTGAAATCACACAGCCACCTGTGATTGATGAGTCAGCGTTCATCTTTTCCGGATTTAATGATCCAGTGATATTTCTCCAAATGAATTCAAAAGCTCTCTTTTGATGAGAATGTAACTTCGATCTCAGATTAGAAACTGGAGTCCACACACTGTCGAAAACTTCAGATGATGGCATGTTTAGCGAGGAAATAGCATTACCGAGATGATCTATTTCGAGATTATAAAGGCCCATTTGTCTGAGATCATCCATGCCCCATTTTTCATTGGATGAGAACAATCCACCATTGTTCTGCAAGAAATAAAGATAATTGAGTTGAAATATAAGGAAATAAATTGAGCGTTCGGATTTTACTTGTCACAAGTAAGCTTACCATTGGTGACATTACATAACGTATTTCTGTGCACACAAAATTGCACAATCGGCAAACAATTCCAATTTGCTCATCCAGCTTATACACATGTTGACATTGTTGTCCTGAATCATTATCTGAAGAAATGGGGGTCCCGAAGAATTCGGCATCCAACTTCTGAAATTACTCGAGATAACCATGGAAGAGAATGAAGTATCAACAAGTTGAGAAATGACAGAAACCCATGAAAAATAAGTCAATGTGTAACACAGAAAAATGTGTTTGTGCAGGTCCCTCACAACTAGTTATCAAGTAAATAATATAAGGGATATGTATGCTCACATTTTGCATTGATGAAGAAATAACTCCCTTCTCCACAAAAAAAAAGGACTTAGTATGGACATGTTTCCATGTTTAACAGAATATAATTTTAATGTGGTTCAAATTTAATGAATAGCATTCTACCCAAGCATATTGCGGGAATATATGATAAGCAACATTATATTGTTGTGAGTAAGCAAATTAACACGAAACAGTTTCAAGATTACACTGGGGGCAGCAACAGGGTTTATAAAGAAATAAAACTATGGGAACAAGTTGGGTCCCGTATCAAGTAGTAGAAGTGTACAACTTCAACTAAGATTGGACTAAATAGTAGTCGATGAAAAGGATGGACTCCAACCTCCCTAACCTTGATTTTCTGCTTTTTCTACTCCATGCCATTTTTGTGATAACATATTTGTGCACTCTTTTCAAGTTTACTATTCCAACCTGTCCTTGTTTGCACATGAGATTATTCTCAGTTTCATCATTATTTTTCTTTTCTGGTTATTGTTAATTTTTATGTTAATTTTTATGCATGCCATATTGTGTTGCAGAAGCGTATGATTAATTCACTGAAACTAGGGACGCTTGCCCTGCCTTTGCCTTAAAAAGAAACTAAATTAAAAACCTTGTCAAGGAAAAAAAACTTAAAACAAGATGGAAAAATCACAATTAAGAAAGGTTCTGCAGACTACTGAACATAAATTTGTGGAATCTCATTGACTTATGAATGATACCATAATGTGTAAAAGAAATGGCATACTAGCCAGCACCCTCTAGTGACACCATCCACCAGACACCGTCATGTGCGTTCATGCATGCAATGTAGCTTCTTCCCCTTGATGTAATTTACTAAAATTGGAAGGAAAGCCCAATAATGCTCTAGCTAACTTTATATTTCATGCACCAAATACCAAGATATCTGATAACAAAAAATAAGGATAACTTTGAGTTAACACATATGAAAAAAACTCAATTGTACCTGCTTTTGTTCAAGAAGGTTAAGTGTGGCTAACGAATCATCCATTTCTTTCCACAAGTCTTCATTTTCATCAATTTCTTCGGCTTCAGTACCTGGACTCCAGTTGAAATCTGTAAACTCTTCTATAAATGCTTTTTGTTCAGTGTTAGGCTGATGCTGACTGCTAAATTCAGATTCCAGGTTTCCCATTAATTTCTCCAACAGTTGCTTGCATTCATTTGGAGTCAGTTGCTTCTTCTTATATGAATGTTTACTATGATTTTTCCAAGACTGTTCATGACGAACTTTATGTGAATATGACTTGTATTGTGAATATGACTTGTATTGTGTATATGACTTGTGTTCACTGTTTTTACTTCGTGAAACTTCACGTGTTAATGCGACTCTTAAATTTTCTTGATCAAAATCAGAGTCGGAGGTTTCTTCTAGTTCCGCAGATGAACTTTCTTCTGCTGAATCAGAATCAGTGTCCTCTATTTCCACAATTTGAGGAGTTTCAGAAAGAAGTCTTGCTGTGTTTGCATCAGTTAAGTTCTTTATCTGACTCTGTTCCTGTATCAATTCTTGGCTGGAAGATTCCGCTTGTCGTTGAATCATAGGCAACCACTCAATCAAGTGACCGATATTTGTGTCTCTGCTATCTTGAACTTGAAGCGGTTCTTCATCCATCAGCAAACTGGCTATCATAGCCGTTGATTGTTCTAATTCATTTGAATCATTTCTCTTGGTTAAGGGACGATTGAAGTTTGGTTCAGAGTAACTAGTAAAACGTTCTGGATGCATTTTTCGACGTTTCGAACGCCTTAAATTCACATAATCATATAAAATCTCAACGTCAGATTCATAGTTCACAGGCTGATGACCAAGATCCTCTTCTACAATTGTAATTGGTGCTGTTATTTCCTCAACAGCGACTTGGTAAAGTGTTTCTATTTTGGGCTTCAATGTTTGGTTTGACCTTCGGAAAGATAAAACCTTTATGTAGTCTTCAGAATTTGGAGAAATTCCTTCACTATCACTATCAAATTGCACATCAGATACTCTGGAAGACACTTCAACATAATTACGGACATGATAAACTACCCTGTTTTGAAACAATTTTATATCAAAATCCATTCCTTTTAGAACAGAATAGACTACTAGCCATGAAAATTCAGAAGAAACTGTGCTGGTCAGCAATTTGCTCCTTTTACATGAGGTCCAATCCTCTGATGAAGTCCAGTGGTGAATACCATCTACATGAGGTTCGCAACAAAGCTTTTGAAATATCGCAATTCTGTCTATAGTGACAACCTCTGTAGTTACTCTATCAGATGCGCAATTCACAAAGCTGGTGGGGACTTTATTTCTGTTGAGTATCACTGAAAATTGGCAGGCACATCTACCCTCATGGTGATTTTTCTTGATTGACATTATTTTGGCATCAACCCATGATAGCACCTGCAGTTAATAAAGAACAAATGAAACTACATTATTATGTGTTAAAAAAGAATGTATTGCGTGCTACTATAAGAGAAAAATACATATGGAAAGTTACAAATGTGTTTTCAGTTGCAAAAGGTAAGGAAGGGAAAAATAAGGGAAAATAAGGCAGTTTGCTTTATAAATAAAAGAAAGTGAAATATAAAAGCATCACAAAAGTGTTCGTATTATGAAAGTTAAACACCTAAAGGTACTGAAATGAAATTAAAAGATTAATCCCTTCCTTCATTTCACCTATGTATTAATACAAGTAAGAAAACAGATATGCACACAATTGGTTTGAAATTTATATTCTTTCAAAAGAAGCATCCATCATTATTATGAGCTCCATTATTCTTGATAGTTCCCTCAGTCGCAACAGATCATTAACATTAGTTCGCCAGACGGTGCAAAACATAATCAAATCTTTTATCATGCTTCACCATCTACCAGACCCCATTTTATGAGAAAAGACGGTAATAATGATGATGCAAATGTTTATGACATGATTTAATCTATAACGATGCAAACAAATATGAGATGCCAAAGGAGGCTTGTCCATTGCCAACCCATTATCAACTCTCTCTCATTCTTTCTTCCTGTAAATTAAGAATAAGATATACACAGATTTCACTCAAATTTGGGTTATTTTGCACTAAAATACCCTGAAAATTACACCATTTTTAACTTTGATGCCCCAAACTTTACCTTTGTCCAAAAAATACCCTAAACTTCCAAAAAAATCTAACTTGGGTACCCCCAGTTAAGTCATTTTTGGGTATCAAAGTTAAATGTTTTTTAATTTTAGGGTATTTTTTGGGAAAAAATAATTTTTGAGGTAAAAAAGTTAAAACGGGGTAAAGTTTTAGGATATTTAAGTGCAAATAACCCTTTATACCTTCCTTGCCGAGAAAGAGAAATTAAAATATATGGTAATTAAGAGAGAGAAAAAAAGTATGAAATATTCCATAATAGAGAATAACATACAGGTTCATGAGGCTCATCATCTGAACTTTCTGCGACCGGATGTGTTGAAAGGACACATACATCAACACCAATCTTCAATATGTGTGAACAGTCTAATGCACGTGCCTTTCTTGATCGAAGTCGGAGGTAGTCACCACAAATTATATCCTCGATAACAGATCCACGGTAGTTTAGTTGAATAGAAATACACCCATTCTTAATGCTTATGAGATTTACGCCATGCCATGATCCATGAAAAAAAGCCTCAAATGCTGTATTAGTACAATATATGAGTCAACATATCTATATCTTATGCGGTCTTAACTCCATAAAAGTAAACATAGCTGAAGATAATTAACTACTACACGTATCTTAGAGCGATTTCAGTTGAGTGATGCCTTTAGCCATGTATGTTGACAATACATAGGATAAAATAAAAGTACTTTCACTTACGGACTGAATCAAGTGGATATTTCCCTTGTGCATGTTGTTTAGTCATTCTTCCAGCTGGCAAAATTTCATAAGCAAGGAACCTGTTAAAAGAAAGAGTAATTGAAATAAGAAGTCGTCTGCATGCATGAATCCATTCTGGAATAAGAGATCACTTAATCAATGATGACAAATATCGCTAACGTACACTTATACTGTGCAATTAGGATACCAATTTGCTATGTTATTATCCCTAGCCAGTCTGTAGTAAACTTTTCCAGCTATAGGCAGGTGCCCTTTCATCGTTCTGCTTATTAACTTCTACATTGTACATGAGCAGGTTAACTGTATACTGACATGTGCAGCAAACTTTCTGATCATTGGTGAATTTTTTCATTAACACTTGACTTATGTGTATACATGCCAATATAAAGCAGTTTTGTCATATGAGTGCACACATGAATATGCTCTTCATGCACATTAAGGCTCTGGACACCAGAAATTCCATCTGATGTTTAAAGGACCAAAAATGAAATTAGTCAAGACAATAACTTCGAGATATAACTTCATGAATTATATTTGGCCGTAAAACTAAAAAATGAAAATGTTGTAGCTAAACATCATCTTTGACTCAGTTGTATCATGTTGCAGATTAAAAAGAAACAAATTCAAAGTGGGGGAGAAACCAAAGTTTGATTTCAATATTTCCATAAGGATTAAAACTGAAAAATTGCAAATTTTGTAACTAAATTCAAGATTATATACTATGTAAGTTAATATATCCACAATAATATGAAGCAACAAAAAAAGGGACTTGATTGCTAAAGGTAGGATTCTGGACAGATAATTTGCAGAGATAAAGATCAGTCAATAGAATTTCCAAACGATTTTGCTTAAAGCAACATGGCAGCATCTTGGATGCAGGTTATTAGCATGTTTTATCATTGTTATTCACCAAAAAAGGAGGGGGAAAACAAACAAACAAAACAAAAAACCATCCACGCCAAATTTTGGCATCGTCCTCTTTTACCAATCATTTCTATTGAGGATAGTCTCATCGTTAAATTAAACGCCGTCATATCCTTCTAAATTGTCTTCGTCCAAGTTCTCTTAGGTATTATCCAACTTGCTCCCTTTAATATAGTTCACATTGCCGTCATTGCACATGCACAAATTTCTCACCATAGCAAACTATGTATTTTTCAACAACTTATTTTCTTGTATCCAACATTGTGATACATAAAGAATTGTTGGCTTTTTATCGTTCCGTCCTCATGAAGGAATGCCTCTTACAAATCTGTTAGTTTTCTCATTTCTTTTCCTATTTGTATTTTAGCATGTTCATCATAAGGGGGGGTCTAAACCAAATATTGTATACTCCTCTTTGATAAAATTTCAACCACTTAAGTCAATGTCATATACGATACAGAACCGCGAGTAAACCCGATAAATTGAATGTTAAAAATTTATAGTTCGACATCAATGACTGTAACTCCTCTTTTTTCCTTGTCTTCATTTACGACAGCACAGCATGTTTGTTCATTTTCATCTATTAAATCGAAAACCCATCCTCTTGTAAGATTCTCAACGAGAATCTCAATAAGCCAAACCCATTCTAGCAGAAAACGACTACAAATGCTTCATGCAAACTTCAACCTTCTCGGATCAAAAATTGAAACTTTACTTGCGTCAAGGACCCCGCAATAAAATTTTCCCTTCCAGCAAAACGAGAGGAGAGAATCAAACAGCATCAGATTAAATAAAAAAAACCAATGCCTCTAAGATCAGTAAGAAATCAGAAAAAATAACCTGGGACAGTCGCCGGAGCAGAGCTCTGGAAGAAAGACGGAACTTTTATTTCCTGCGTTAAAGATATCGACTTTTTTTAATAAGCGGAAAGAGAGAACTTTTTTCTTCGAGGGGATCGAGGGAAGCGGAGGAGACCAATTGGGGAAAGCTGTGACGACGGGTGACGTGGCGCCCGTGGGAAGAGTGGGTTTTAACTTGGAGTACGAGTTCTCGGTGCGGTTAAAGCGGGAGTTGGGATCTGTTGACCGGCGGTCACGCTACCTTCGAAGGGTTTCTCGTCGAGGGACTCGGCGAGGATGCGAAAGAGATAGGGATTGAGTGGAGGTGAGGGGACGCTTCGGGTCACCGAGGTTGGAGTGGAGTCAACAACTTTGAGGCATGGATACTCGAGCTTTTGGACTGAGGTTCAGGGTTTAATGTTTCGTCAGAGTTGTGGCCAGGTTGGGAGTAAGTATGGGCTGGCCCAGGTGACTTATGATTACCAATTTATATTATAATCACATGTTAAATGAAAATAATAATTATGAGCGAGATAGATGGTGATGAAGGATTAGGGTTTTGTTTAAAAAAGCTTGGTAGCTTGGTCCAAGTATCGTGGAAATTATATCTATTCATATTATCTTCTATGTTAAGAATAGATGATAAACCTTAATATAAAATGTACCTTAATAGTTGCCTCAAAAAATTGGAAATTATGTCTGTAAAAAGTTTCCTTCAGTGCGTTTCGTTTTATTCCGAAAAATCTTCGGCAAATCGAAGGTTTAGATTCCTGAAATATCTCTGAGACTTGCGCTTCATTCGTTTTTTTTGGAAATATGGTTGAGAGATCCCTAAAATATCTCGAAAATATATTCGAATTTTCATGACTTTTTAGCTTGATTTTGGCGTAGAAACAAGGAATGAAATAAATGCCAAGTAGTAACGGTTGTTGTAGCTTGTTTTATCTGCAGTCATGGGCTTTGGTCAATCTCCTAAAAGTAACGGTTTCGTTTAAATTTTGCTATTGCCATTTGTCGCTTAAAACCCGTGAGCACGTCATCAGCATATATAATGCCAGTTTGGCCCTTTTTTTTCTTTTTTTGGATGCTTTTTATTTTTTTGATATTTAGTGGGGAAAATATGTTGTGCTAATTACTTCTCCATTTAAAAAGGTGTCTTTAAAACAATCCTTTCTCAAGGATTAAAAGGCAGGGTTTGCTTTTTTATACTTTATATGCATACAATTATAATCATTATCTTTTGACAGTGATCTTTTAAGTAGTTTTGCCAAACACTAGAATGCTTCTGAAAACAGTTTTTGACAATGATCTTTTAACATAGTTTTGTTAGACACCTAACTGCTTATGAAAGTGATTTTTAATATACAATAATCAAATAACTATTTTTAACACTTTATATAAGTCGCTTTTATAAGCTACTAACAAAAACAGCTCATTATACGCTCCAACATAGCAAATACCAAACGGGCCCGAAGATGTTTTGATGGGTAAGATAAACTGAACTCATTTCAAGATCAGTTAGTCTACTCTGATAAGCTTTCAGGAAACTTTACTCGAGCTGTCCTTGTGCTTATAGCATGCTGTTTAATCAAAAATATTGGACGCTTGATTACATGTCTTAATCTCAAATTACTTCTTCTGCTGGAACAAGAATCTGCATGTTTCACATAGACGATACTGAACAAGCCAAAATTGTAGTGTAGTTCAAATCGCGTACTCCTGCCGCAATGCATCATGATCATCAATCTGAAAGTTACCAGTGAAGTTGGAGTTAATATCGTAATTTGCAAGGATCAAAGAAAGCAGTAGCAGAAGATAATACTCCTCTGCATATACAGGCTACAATACAAAGTATGTGGTTTTTCGCGGCTAAATAAGAACCAAAAGAACTATAAAAAGTGATACCATGAAG